TGGGGGCGATATGCTGACTCTGTAAACCGCTTAGAGAGGGCTGAAAGCCCTATGAAGCGGTATATAAGTCTAACTGCTATTGCTAACTTGGCAGGATGAGGGGGGGGGGAGAGGATATTTTCTTTCCTAGCTTTAGTAAAGTGAGCCGAACTAGATTGAAGGAATAATTAGAAATGTTTTGATGGGTTCAGGGCAGCAGCCTGAAAGAAAAAAAAAGTACTTTGCAAACGTTTTGGGGAAGCAGAATAACAGAATTGTAAGGGACTTTGGAGGTCTTCTAGCCCAACCCCCTACTCAAGTTAGGAAACCTAACAACCAGAATAGGGATTAGGTGGGCCAGTCTTTTCTGTACCATTGGGGGTTGAATTGCCCATCCTTCTCTTCCCACAATCTGTCCTGTTTTCGCATTTCAGCCACTTAGCAACGCGTACCACGAATTAGCGCAAGTGTATGCCACCAACAAGCCTTCTGAGCTGCGAAGTCTGGTGAACAAGCACAGCGAGACCTTCACCCGGGATAACAACATGGGCCTGGTGAAACAGTGCTTATCATCTCTCTACAAAAAGAACATCCAGAGGCTAACTAAGGTGAGGCACATCCCCCCCCCCCATCCCAAGGCCTAGAGGGGGCTCCGTCCGGCTGAGAAAAAGAACGGGTGACTTTTCATTTGCCATCCGTTGCCTTGCAAAATACAAGCCTTCCCTTCCTTTTAACACTCGGCAGTCCCTTGCAAATTCCACCTTGCAGGTGAGATTGTAGCGAAAGGGATAGCGGAAGAGATAACTTGTTCACTATCTCCATTTGGCTGTGCTTTTTTTCTTTCCAGACCTTTTTAACACTGTCGCTACAAGACATGGCTAGCCGAGTGCAATTATCGGGGCCCCAGGAGGCAGAGAAATATGTCCTTCATATGGTAAGGCGTTTTGACTCGGCTGGAAATGATAAAACGAATAGCACAGAAGTAACCAAGCCAGGAAAGGTTCGTTCCAAGCAAAATCCTGCTTCATTCGTGTCCTTTTTTTTTTTTTTAATGCAGATAGAAGACGGGGAAATTTTTGCAAGTATCAACCAGAAAGACGGCATGGTTTGTTTTCACGACAATCCCGAGAAATATAATAATCCGGCGATGCTCCATAACATTGACCAAGAGGTAAGTGAGGTTGGCTGATTCCGTCGTAACTTAGAACGGCCGTTAAATAAATGGTTGCGAGTCAGGGACTACCAGTGTTGGAGAATGCCGCTGTAGCACAGCTTCCACAATTCAAATATTTTCATTAGCTTATCAAAATGTAAAATGCGAGGAAAAATGAAGATAATGGGAAAATAAAGGAGGAAAAGTGGAAGAGAGGAAAGAGAAAAAAGAAATGCATTGACTTCCGACTCCTTTTGGCGCAGTAGAATAAGGGCATAACATAAAACCTTCCGTTTTTACTTTTGATAATATAGACCAGCCATTTCTATAACAGCAAACCTATAAAAATCAGAAAAAGCATCAAAAGTTTCATTCAGCCCCCACCACACCTCAAACATAAAAGTCCAGAAGCCGTTTCCTTCCAAGTAGAAACAGAAATTGTGTCCTTTTCTTTAATCAAAGCAATCAATTTCATCCATACTGGGCTGTAAAACAGCTTGCAAAGAAATCCCTTCTGTCTTCCTTTAGATGTTGAAATGTATAGAACTCGATGAGAGGCTGAAAGCGATGGATCAGGAGATCACCGTCAACCCTCAGTTTGTGCAGAAGGTAAGCATCAGATCCATTCTGGAATCCAAGACTATTTCGCCATACTCATTTTTTTTTTTAAGAAATCTTCTTTTTAAACACCGTGTGTCTCTGTAACTGTAAGTATAAATGAATCCATTTCATTGGATTAGAACATCTTGGCCTTTCTGCTGCATTCTCCTCTCTGCTCAGTGTCCACCAAGATCACAAGAGATTCTGTTTTCTGCTCTTCCAGATTCAAAAACAGATTCCTGTTTTTCTTTTGCAGAGTATGGGCTCCCAAGAAGACGAATCAGGAAGCAAACCATCCAGTTATTCTTGAAAATCACATTTTTGCTTGCTACTCTCTTGTAAAACACACATATACATTAAAAAAAAAACGCTAAAAGAGAGACGGCTTTAGGATTTGAGTGTTAAAAAACAAAACCCCAAGAAGAAAGCAGAGAACTGTCTGTTGCATCTGAACTTAAAATGTCTTCTCAGTACTGTATGATTTTGGGGGGGGAAATGCTCTTCAAAGAAAGGAAAAAAAAGTCTCATTCTGTTGTGGATTTATCTTGAGATTTAACGTTGTTAATGCATTAAATAATTCACTTTTTTGTTTTATGAATGTTACCGCTTTGGCAATGGCTTCCTTTTCAAAAAATTTCCATGCAGAGTAAAGTCTTATCAGGCGAGTTAAATTTCTGGTCATATGAAAACATTGTGTGGAAAGCAGTTTTCTTGAAATCGGAGTGTTTTTAGTGAGCTTAAATTAAGGGAAAGTATTTATTGCTCTCTTTTCTCCCCACATTAATTTGGGTTTAAAAGATGTGTTGCTTTGATTTGGCAGGGAGATAGGGGCAATTTTCTTGGCAATTTTATGGTCCCTCAAACTGCTTTAATACCTCCTGGCTACACCTGTGAAGTTGGGAGTTTCTTAACGGTTCCACCACAAAACCGTGCTCGACTAAACCGCGCCGCTGACGTCATCAACAGGGCGACAACAGCGCGGAGACAGAAGCATGCTGTAAACCCTAAACCTAAAATTAACACCTAAACCTAACCCTAAACCTAACCCTTACCTTAACTTGAATCGGCTTGCTTTCAAAGCGCTATTTAAAGCGCCCTCCTTTCTCCGCGCTGGCTGTTGTCGCCCTGTTGATGACGTCAGCGACGCGGTTTAATCGGGTGCGGCTTAGTCGAGCGCGGTTTTGACGGGTCACGTTTCTTAACATCATCTCTGTGTCTCTTCCTCTGGTTATCTTCAACATGTTTGCTTGAAGACATGCCTGGATTCTGGCAAAGGGACACCTATAATAATCCTGAACCTCATCCAGAGGTGGGTTGCTACCGGTTCGGGTGGTATTTTGGCCTTGGTTGCAGAACCGGCAGCGACCCAGGCTGGCCACCCCCCCTCCCGGGAACCGATTCTCCAGTGGCTGCTGCTGTTACAGTCAACTGCACATGCGAACCGGAAGCAACTCACCCCTGATCTCATCCCAGGTTCCTAGAGTGGGGATCTCTTAACTTTGGCAACTTTACCACTTGTGGACTTCAACTCCCCGAATTCCTCAGCCAGCATGTGGACTGGAGGAGAATTCTGGCAGTTGAAACCCACGAGTTGTGAAATTGCCAACCCACCCAGGGGTGGGTTGCTGCTGGTTAGCTTTGTTCCACGCGTGTGCGCAGTTGACTGCAAATAGTTCTGTGCATGCGTGCAGAACATGGAAAAAAATTACTAAAAAAAAAAATGCCGGCAGCGAGGTTTGGGAGCGTGGCCAGCCTAGATCGCTGCCAGTTCTGCGACCAAGGTCGAAATATCACTACCGGTTCGCCCCCAGATGACATCTAGAGTGGGAAGACGCCTCGACCCCCTTTCCCCATTCTGTGTTTCCTTCATGGATCAGATAGAGAAGTTCAGCAACAGTGGGGAAGATTCCCGTGTTCCCCCCATGGTTGGCTGGGGAATCCTGGGAGTCGGAGTCCACCCATCTTCATAACGAGAGTTGCTGAGAGTGAGAATCCCTGGACCGTCTCCTCCCAAGAACCAAAGGCCATCATCATCATCCTCTCGCACCTAAAAAACGAAGGCAAGAAACGGTTGTGTGTCCAGATCTGCCCCATAGAACCCCCATCCCGCCCCTCTGGAGGGATTGCATGCTCTTCGGGGCGGAGACCTCAAATGTGCTTCTCTTTGCATGCAAGATTTTGCAACCCTGGTTGATGATGCGGTGGAAGAACGAGGTGGGGTGGGGTGGTGTCATCCAAAGCAGTGTTTGTCAACCTTGGCAACTTGAAGATGTCTGGACTTCAAGTCCCAGAATTCCCCAGCCTGCGAATGCTGGTTGGGGAATTCTGGGAGTTGAAATCCAGACATCTTCAAGTTGCCAAGGTTGACAAACACTGATCCAAAGAATGCACCTTTTTTTTTCTGTAAAAGGCGCCGCTTTGGCCCGAATTCCCTCCC